ATACCTCAATATTTACCTTTTCAAATAAACTTTGAAGTAACTTAAAGAAGTGAATTGTGTGACTCCCTTTTCTTGCTTCTGTAGCAATTCCTTCATATCTATGTCACTGGGCCATCCTGATGTGATGCCAGGATTTGGCACTGTCTGTATTCTCTGCATATCAACACTAATAGGACAGGAACTATATGTCTGTAAGCTCAAAAGTCAGTACCTGGATTGACTGAGACTTCAAAAATAAATCAATAAATAGATAAGTAATCATCAATAAAAGTCATAAATTATTCCTGTTTTATTTTATTAAAAGATAACTGAATATAAGAATATGTTTCTTCTGCCCATACTATTAAATGGAATTTTGAAAATAATCGTTCATAAAATAAATGACTAATCTTTGTCTTACTTTTAATTTACATGAGTAATAACATTAAAATATGTACATATTAAATACATATTCAAAATTAATTATTTTATTAATGATTGAAAGAAAAATTAAACTTCACTTTGTGTGACTCTCATGGAATCCATCAAAAATTTTCATTATTTTCCTTTTGCTCAACTGTCATCATCATATAGATTAACTTGAATTTGTATGATTACAATTGCTGTTGTCAAAAGTTATATTCTGAGTAATGGCAGCTTTGTAACAGTAATTTCCCAGTGATATATATATATATATATATATATATATATATATATATATATTCTACAAATGTATTCAAATGCATTTTTACTTAGTCCTTTAAAATATCATTATCTAAAGCTTATCACAGAATCACAGGTAATTGTCATTAGATTTAATAAAGCATACACATATGCACATGCATGCAGAACCGGAGCATCACTCCCTTGCTTTGTGTACATACCACTGTCATATTTCACTTATTTCATTTTGGTGTGGTGAACCTATTACAGCAATAATTACAAAAAAATGCATCACTAGTTTATTTTTGCCACCTACAACTGAGTAAGCCACTTTGTGTTCTATATTCATTTTTTAAAAAATCTTTTTGTTTACCTATTTTAAGCACTGTAACTTCCAGTAATGCTGAATAAACCAAAATACCCAGGAGAACAATGTTAAATGAAGAACTATTTAAAGATAATTTTCTATATGTACCACAAAGGAGTGTGGCACAGAGTTAAGATTTGCATTTGAGGCTGCTGTGGAGATGTGAAAACAAATCTTACCTAAAAAACTAATAAATTCTGATTGTGACAACGGAAAATGGAGAATGGCAGGAATAGATATGGTTGGCCCCAGAACATTAGCCAGGAAATCAGCAGAAACATCAAGAAAGTCACAATATGAAAGCCTAGAATTGGGATCCTTGCATTAGAATGAGGTTGCAGCAGAACAAAAGAGGATGTTACCTGCCCAGAATGGGGCAGAGGACAAAAACACCCCCACACACTTCACCCCTGCCCAGACTCTCACCATCAGGCTGAGCTGACTAACATGTGACAGTAGAAAGCTGTTGGATTTTTTTTTTAATTATAAGACATAAAATCATAGAATATCACTCTAGAGAGACAAAGCAATGATCAAAATTATAGTCAGGTACAGGAATTATCAGAAAGGTTTTAAAATGACTATGAACAATATATTAAAATATCCAAAGTAAACAAGTGTAAAATGGAAAATAATAGAGAAATGTTAGAGCAACAGTATCAAGATTTTATACAATAATTTTCATTTATTTTTAATAACCAAATTTCTCTCAAATCATATTTTTCAAACATATTAGAATTATTAATTATGGCAAAATACATTACAATCAAGGAAATACACCTAATGGGAAAAAGAGGATAATGTGCTTAGATTGTATTTGAAATTTTGAAAACTATAATTAATGTTTTGATATTTTAAAAAGAAAAAAATTACAGTCATATACTAATCCTAGAGTATGTAGTAAAGCAATTTAAAATTGGAATTTTATAAATAATTCATATGTATCATTGCTCCTTTCCTAGAAATATTTTAATATCTTGCTTCAGTGTATTTTAAATTATTTTTCCAAATAATTTGGGTTATGCAGAAGAGTTGTTAAGAAATTCCCACATAGGCTTTAAACAGTTTTCTCTAATCTTAAAATCTTACATAACTATGGTTTATTTATCAGGACAAAGAACTGAACAAAACTGAACTTTGCAATACTAATCAAACGACTGATTTGATTCTGCCCAGGAACACAATCTATGATATCCTGTTAAATTTCATTATATCACCTTCATCTCTAATCTGTGGCAATATTCAGTCTTTCTCCAACATGATGACTTGGTCATTTTTGAAGAGTGCTGGCCAAATCTTTTGTAGAATGTCCTTCAGTTTTGATTAGTTTGATATTTCCTCATAATTTGTCATGTATCTGTGAAAATAAGTTTGAGGGCTATATTACTAATTAATCACTCATTTTTTTCTTTCATACAAACACTGTGTATCCATAGGCGCCACTGTTGTGCGCTTGCATACTGAACAATATTGGTGGGTTCTGTATACATTGCAGTGCTGTATTTATTTACTCCCATCGTTCACAGAATGCAGAAATAGCTGTATTATGGAACGATGACTTACTTTACAACCTGAGGAGAATTCTCAGGTTGTAAATGTTTTAACAAAGGACATGTTTCTATGGTAGTGATATTCCTAATAACTTCTTGTCAGGATATCTCAGAATGTGTTTATACCCTGTACCAATATTTCCCCCATATATTACAGCTACATTAATAAAAAGATACCTAAAAACAACACAAAAATTCAACATGAGTTTTACCCAAATTCCATTACCTTAAAGGATTTCATCACAAAATTTCTAGACTTAGATTTCCACTTAAAGTCTTTTTTTTTAATTAACTTTTTTTTATTATTAATGTAACAAATAATTTCTTCCACAATGGCAACTGTGGTAAAAAATGCCAACATCAGCCAACCTGCCAACATATCCTATGGTCTTTTAATTAATATAGTGCATAGACATTTATAAACTACACAACCATACCAATTTATAAGCAACTAATAATTTTGAAATGTTAGAATATAATAAATTTACACCGCAAATAGTTTATTTTCCTCATATTATTTTTTCATATTCACACGACCCACATTTTTTTTAATCAGACTCCATTAAATTCTAGATTTAAATAGAACTAAGCATAAAACAAAATAGCTCTTATCAGTGTCTAAGCCACTTAAAGCTATTCTCTAAAAAATAAGTTATTCAACCCAAGGCAAACATGGAGAAAGTTGGAGCTGAAGCTTTGGTTCCCCATAGTTTGATCTGTTAAACCCATGGGAACTTTCAAGATTCAGTTTTTTAGTAGCTTCATGCCATAAAGGTAACTGTCACTAGTGGAATGTCCATTAGCCACAGAAAGACCCCCAGACACATTCGACAGGGTGTTCAATCTGCAGAAAATGGGGAGTTTGGAGTGGTATGCAATCAGATTAACACATTTTTAATCCTTAGTCAAACATAAATATTATACCTAAATAACAATCTCGAAGGAGCTTGAAACTTAAATCATGAACTAACTAACCCTGAAGAACGTAAAGGTTCTATTCGGAATGGAAATGATAACCACTTGGCCAGTTTTCTGCAGTGAATCACAGACTGACATCATGCAGTCAGTTCAGAGACTGCAGTGCTCCTCCCTGAGGCTGTAACAGTTAGGCCATTACCTGACATGTGCTTCAGGACACCCAGTGATAGCAAAACAGGTCAGTCCTATGACACACAGGGTTAGGTCTTGTAACTCTGAAGTGTTAGGTAAAACCAATGTTGGGTTTTCCTCATAACTTTTCCTTAAATCCTTTTATTTTCATGAGTAAATCCAGGCCTACTTTGGGCTCTCCATGTTAAGCCTGTGGAAGCTGCGGCTGCGGCTGCTGCTGCTGCTCGATGGCTCTTTTTCTACGTTATGGTCCTATTTCTGCTAAATTGTCCTTCAAGTCTTAGTCAATTTCAGTTTTCTAAAAACTCTTCTTTTTAGAATACTGAGACTATCAGTAAATTTAAATTAAAAAAAATTTTCAATCTTATTTTTCAAATACAACAGAATTCTGATATCTGATGCTGGGTGATTTCTGTTCACTTAGTATCAATGTTGTAAAGAGGTTCAACTGAACTTTTATTTAACGAGGTGAGTTTCAACTCTAAAAATGGTAAATTAACCTCTTTTTTTTTGTGGGAATCTAAAGTGTAACCCTTAGGAGATTATCTTTAAGTTAAAAACATAAAATTAGGCCGATGATGATTAAATACAATGTTAACAAGTACATTGAGCAATAAACTGAAACTTTCATTTAACTGACATCTGCTAGTTTTTTATTAAGTATAAAGGCCAGTTAATCAATTCATTAGATTGGTCAAGGCAAGACACCTGAACTACACAACAGAATTTAAAAAGCAGTTGGTTTTGTAGTAGTTCTCTGGTAATCACACACCCACGCACACATACAAACAAATTGGTAGAGTACTCTGGATATTAGATTCCCCCATAATCTTGTATAATGCACTGTTCACAATCTGCAGTTTTTTGATAACGATATAAATTGGACATGACCAAATTAGAGATGACTGATAAACTCTTTTGGGAACTTTAGCTGTATTCCCCCAAAGATTGACTTTAAACTAAAAAAAAAAAAAAATCATATAAAAACACAAGATTTAACAGACACTTTGAAAAAAATCAAATTATAACTCAATTGTCTACTTTTTAAATATGACTAAGAAAAAAGTTTTAAGTAGTAATGTCTACATTTAAAAAAATGACAAACTATTAACTGGGTGAATCTGGGTTGGGGGAAAGCTATACAGTATTATTGCACTCCACGAATGTGCAGAATTCCAGAACGTGCCAGCACAGAAAAACTATTTTGCATTGAGGTTTTCCAAGAGGTACAAGGAGCCTGCCAAAAAAGCATCTGGTCTGTACTAACAGCTGGCTGTCTTCAGTACAGACCTTCATAGTGTCAGTCACGCTGCTCTTGCAAAGATCCCTTAATGTAAGAGTTTTCAGTGCTGATAGGTGGGGCTATGATCGATGATGCGGAATTGAATCCATGTGCACGTTGAGTTTCATTTCATTGTCAAGAATTTGAACAAGTTGTTGCATGGATGGAAGATGACCAGATTCCAGCTTAGACCATACAGGCACGTCATTTAAAGTTATCTCAAATGCACCTGTTGACATACACTGGTTCTCAATCATGTTGCTTAAGAAGAAAACTATCATACATGCATAGACCTTATTCTCCTGGCCCCACTGCCAGATGCTAGGAGCTTGCATGCCAAAGAAAGCAAAAGGGTCCTTGCCAACAATGATCAAGCCTATTAATACGAGTTTGAAGATTGACAGGAAAGAGGCTATGTGTCTATAAATTGGTTGAGGGAGGTAATTCTCTCCTTCGATTCGGATGTCTGGGTACCGCTGACTAATAACCCGCATGTACTCCTCAAACACCCGCCTGTAACCTCGGGAAACACAAATCTGGAACTTGAGCAGCGGCCCGGTAGCGTACTGCATCTTTAACCTCTTGCTGGGCACGCAGCCCAGGTTGGCCAAGGCCTCGCTCCGGGCCACCGCCGACGCCGCCACCAGGAGAAGCAGCAGAAGCCTCATCTTACTCGAGACTGCCGCTGCAGCCGCCTTCAGACTGAGACTGCGGCCGCCCAGAGCCTCGCCGCCGGCGGCTCCCCCACTTAAAGTCTTTTTCCTATATTAGTTTCAATCTATCCATTATAAAAATACAGATTAGGAAATATTTTCTTATTGTCTTGCTCAATGGAATTGAAAATCTTAAAGCTGCGATAAAATATACAGAAAATAACTCTCGAATAAAAAAATAATGCATAAAAATTAAGTTTTGGGGAAGTGTCAAAAGAATCGATAGGTCTCCTTGAAACATGTTAGAGAATTTCATGTTAAAATGCATTAAGTAAATATGATTTTTCAATTTTTCATCTTTGGGGCACATGAATTAACATAATAAATTGATTAGTAAATAAGCCTTAATGAAGTCCTCTCTGTCCTTTCTCTTTATCAATGGGAATTTGTTTTAATATATTTTAGGTGATAGAATTTTTATCTAAATTCTTCATGAATATTAGCATATTAGTATGTATCCCCATATCAACTCAAATATTCTCCCACTAATGAAATTTTGCAAAACTCTCATTGACAAAATGACCTAGAGAATTATGAAAATTAAAAGAATTTGCATATTATATCTATGGGTGATTGAACTATAACATTTAAAAACGGAAAAATTTTATAAAATTGTGTATGTTAGTTTTCCAAAGCAACAAGACAACTTTTTTCTATTTTCTAAGTCATGGAAATTTAAATAAATAATTTGATTCTTCTTGGCATCTACAATACATGCAAAACAGGATGCTACAATATAAATTAAATTGTCTTAGTAAAATAGCCATTACTTTTACTATAATTGAATACTTGATCTTTCAGTACATGTTCAGGTATTATCCATACTTTGATTACAAATCTGAAATTTGCTTCCATTTACCCAGCAATTTATACACATTCTTTTTATTATAAATCCTAAATGATTAATTCTTATATAATCACTGTATGATATAACTTGGAATTTACGATGTACTTTTAAAAATAAAATGATATTATCATGGACACAATTTAACAGGATTTCTAAGTCCAGAGTTCTGATCAAAATAAAAAATATTATTATTAGTGTTTTTTTAATAGTTATTTTGCAAGAGATTAGTATATCACTGTGCACAGAAATAACTATGCAGTGGGAAACTTTATTTTTAACTTGATCTTTCCTCTTTATGCTCTTTTCAATTACCATTTGGTCCTGAGTATAGTGTCCATATGTTTCTACTTCAGAAATGATATCTACTCAATTTCATAATTACCATCTAAAATTTTTCTTGCCACATATTAAACCCTAGAAACTCTGACCCACCCTGGGTGTTTTTCTTAGCTGCTCAAATTTTCACTTACCATGTTAATGTATTTAGTAATTCTCTGTTTCACTCATATAAATTTGCAAAACTCAAGTTTTTAAAGTAAAATATAATTCACAAATCCTTCTAATGGAGGAAATATTTTGGGTCAAATATATTTCTGATGATTCTCAAATATGATAGTAAGGAAATAAAATCCCTTGGGTTTATTGTTTTAACAGAAAGGATTTAAAAATATTTATCACTTGTATAATTTTGTGCCCAAATTATACATTAAATTATTAAAAATAAATATTTCCTATACTAATTTAGTATATAGTTTTCCACATTAATTCTGTTGGTGTTTTTTTCTATTTATGCCTTGTATTCAATTAATTTAATTCACCATAATCTAGCATTTTCTATTTTTATGTCTTAAAATATATAAAGGTGTCAAGTTCTAATATTATAATACTTTATTTTAATAAAGTTCATTATGTCCATACTGTAGGTTCAGTTAATAGTATTTTTTTAGTGAAATTAGCTAATTCAGAATGAAATTTATTTTACTAATGTCTTCCCTTAAATTTCCTTGTAAATATCTTCTTATAATTTTAGAAACTCCTTATTTAACTGAAAAAAATTATTAAATATTTAAAATAAACCTATTCTGGAAATCAAAAATATTAATATTTACAACTAAAATAAGCTTTTGTGTAAAAGATAAACATAAGTTATTTAGATGTAGAAATACATAATAAAAATCTCTGAAAGATTTTTTTCTATGCAAAGGGACAAAACTTTTGAAGTCATTTTAGATTTTATTAAAAAGATGACACTTGGAAAATATTATGGATTTATGTATTCTTTTATAATTTAAATTATAACAAGATATAGTCATATGTGTGAGTGTGTATATATTTTGATTTAATTTTATTAAATTTCAATATGGATAGAAAAAATACATATATTTTCAAATGTGTAAATTAATAGGTAAAATAATTTAACTATGGGAAATTAAGAATTTTGCAGAGAATTGGTAATTCTGAAGTTAGTCTTCAAACATAGGAAAAAAATAATTTGTGTCAAAACAGTAATTTTTTTCAAATGTTAAATGTAGTACTTCAACATTACTGTTCCACTGTTTAACCATCACCCCTGCATTATCATATATTCATGAGTATTCCAAGAATCCAAATTTTGCGGGAAAAAAATAGTAATAAATAATTTTTAAGTAATACTGGAACATTTTTTTTCAAATAAAAACTCTACATAATGATTACAAATGTCCCTTCTTTCCAAAAACAATGTGGCATAAAATATTCGATGATTATGCCATGAAGTACAGTATTCTTTCACATCTCCAAATTCAAAGAATATTCAAATATTTAATACTTTCTTTTGGTAAAATTTTCATATTATTCAAGTGATCTCAAAATTAACACTGCAATTAAAGTATATTAAAAAGAATGCTATATCAGTCAAGAAATATCAGTCCCTTTTTTCTTATATTTTAAATTTTAAAAATATTGATTTCACTTAATTCTTGATTGAAGAGCAAAAATGCCCTTTAACTTGGGTAAAAATGCTAAAAGTATGAACAGAAAATTTTTTACATGAGTGAAGCAGATATATTTTCCATATCAGATATAATTATAGATAAGATGCATTTAATACTATTAAATTATATCTATCATGATGAGAATATTTTAGTAATAATCTACTGGAATGCACTAACCCTGCTGATTGCCCTTCATTATAGCCACAAATATGATTGTTCAAAGAACCCTACTATACATATCTCTTTTTGTTTATGAAATATTGTTTTGTTTATAACTATACGTACTCAAATTCCAAATGATGAAGGCAGAAGGAGAAAAAGGCTTCTTAATATGCTTGACCTTCTGCTCCCTACGATCTTATTTTTCCTTCCCATTAAAATTACTCTTTTCTTCAAAGCAAATGTTTTTACATGCTGATTCCAATATTTTATTCCTATCACTCTTAGCCTACTTTATTCCTTTGACATCCTCTAAAACTACTTTTCATCTTTTTCTCTTCCTACAGCATTTATTTGCACACAGATATTTTAGAGCTGGTCACAACATAAAATGTCAAGCTCTGAATAATCTTATTTTCAGTCTCTATTATTCAATGAACAAAACTCTTGGACCTCAATAGAACCTTAAACTCTTTTGGTCCTATGACATACCATTTACTGGAATTCACTTACCTCACATTCCCATTTTCCTTAAATTCACTTTCAATAACATCATCTGTTATTATAATTATGCCCTTTAATATGTTTGTAAATTTTTACCTGTTTTTCTGTGACTTTTCTTTCACTGGTTGAAAAATAAATTACAAACTTTAATTAAATATCCTTTATGCACTGAATATATGCAGTTGAATAAGACTTAAGGAAAGCACAATATCATGGTGCTTGATCTAACATTAAAATTCTGACCAGAAGCAGAAGTGTATTCATAGTACTGCCCAACATTTATATTGTGATTCATCTAACCCACATAGTCTTCTACTTCCACTGATGAGTATATCAAAGTTACTGAAACTTCCTCAGTTCTTGGGTTCTTTAGTGTCTCACAGTAATCTTTTGTCATGATTCTCATAAATCGAAAGGAACACTAAGCATATCTGTTTTAAGTCATTAGCTACTATAATATGAATTTATATCAAAATAATAAAGCAGATATTTGAAAATCACATTGAAAGAAACATTTTATTCTATTTTAAGTGACCACTCTTTCTTACAAAGGGGTGTGTTAACCTGTTGAGCATGGCACAATTCACCTTCATTTCCTGTTTCAATATATATCCTCATTTACATATTTTCTTTTTTGATCACAGCAACAGCCAAAATCCAGATTGCAAAAACTGCCATCATCCAAAAGATAAAGTGTGATCTGTGTCAAAACTATGAACTATCTCAGTTTTGTAATTTCAATAGTAGGCTGAAGATTTCAAGAATATGTACAAAGCCTCACACTTTTTCAAACATCTCAATCTTCCCTTTGTGATGCCTGTCTACTCTTCCTTGCACACTTCCTGAGCTGCAGGACTATATTGTATCATTCTCTGTTCTCATATCTGTCACAATTCTTATCCCAAGCTCATGTAGTTTGTCAATCTGATGTTTACTCATCTATGAAAAGAGAAAATTCAAAGTGAAACTTACACAAACTCTTACCAATCTACTATATCTATCTCCTATAGGTATGCTGATATTTTATTTTCCCATTATGAATGGAACTCTGTGTTCTTACTCAAGATCAAACTGTCATTTGTGTCTAGATTAAGTCTAAATATGTCTACCCTCTCAATGATCAAATATTTCCCCCCAATTTACCATTTCATACTGGAGGATGGACATGCTGTTATGTAAGGAAACAAAAGGAGATAGAAGCAAGATGCAGAGGCAAAATGGCTGGTTGTTTTAGCTGCTGACTTTATTTATACCATTAGGTTACATTAGGTCACTGGCATCAATAGTACATTGTTTACTGTATCACTAGGTAGGTACCGGTACATTAGGTTATAATGTAAGATGTTCTTGTTAATAATCAGATAGGTGTTCCAGCCAAGCATGCATTAGTCATCTTAATAGTTTCTGGGAGAAACTGCAGAATGTCCCAGCAGTGGGAAACAAGATGCCTATTATTCTCTGGGAGTTTGCTC